ATGGTTCGAGTACGGCTAGGGGTGTTGATGAGACCAGTTGAGGCAAGACGAAAACTGAATTCCACTCCGGCTTGGATACGAATATCTTTTGGTAATCAAGCCTATGTGAAATCCAATGTAAATATAAGCTCTTTTCATGCGATTGTGTAAAAATGCAATTACCAGTCCTTCGTTATCTTTAACGAAATAGAGTGAAGACATCTCTTATTACATATTTAGTGACCTGTTGCGACTCCGATGCTGTCACATTTTGCTCCAGCTTGCTACCAGCTGGAGTATTATGAGGTGAAAATGGAAGATTGAATCTATTTTTGCTAATCACCTCGTTTTCAGACGCTCAAGCAGGTGTTGTTAGCCACGGCGTGATAACCGGTCACCTGGAAACCAACCGCATTTTGGCCACCACCTCTTCGGACGATCAGGTAACGAGATTCTCTAGTGGCTACCGGACCAACGGCAGCAAAGAACCTGGCATCGCTAGCGAATCCGTCGTCCTGTCCCTTACGAATGCCAACTTTTCGCCCGAGGCCGGCCTGCCCGCTTCCGGCATGGCAGGTTCGGGTCTTCATTGCAGTCCCGCCCTTCCCAACGAGTCCATTTACGAGGGTCCAGGAGAGAACGACGAAGATGAGCGATTCGGACCACTCAGCAGCAACGGCGCCGCAATTGACAACAGCGACTGTCTTCTCGCAATCCAGGCCAGGTCGTCTGACCAACGTTCGGTGGCCTCGAACACCGCCCGACCGTCGGTAGAACGCAGACTTCGTGCAGTCAAGGCCGACGCCGGTGCCTCGGGCGTCCGTGACTTACGTGGTCTGTCCGAGGTCGACTTGGCCGGTCGGGGCCGATCTCGAGACCGGCTGGTTCGAGCCGCGACCGGTGCGCCCGGCCTTGGCCCGGTGACTGGCGGTGGCACCCTGCAACGGGGCCACAGAAACCAGCAGTTTGACGACGAAGCAGGCAGTGGGGCGGACAGCGAGATTGACTGCCACGTCTACGCTCATGTCTACCGGCCGGAGCAGATACGTCAGTTGGCCGTAGGACCGACGGCGTCAACGTCGTCAATGGCAACTCAACAGATGCCGGGAGGAACGACGGCGGTGTCAACCAATCGGGAGGAAGCTGGAGCAAAAGGCGACGGCGACGGCGACGGCGAAGAGGGCCGAGGCGACGCGCAGCCACAAAACGGACAGCACCACCAGTCGCAAGTGGGTTGGCAACCGGTGCCGGCGGGGAAAAGCAGTTCGCAATGTGAAACCGGCAGTAACGGTGAGAATTGTACCCCTTGCCTCTGATCCTGTCGAGGCAGGGAGCGAGTAGACGTGTAAAGTTCCCTTCCATCGGAAAAGCAAAAGTGTTGGTGATCAAGAGCCCCTGTTTGGGAGACTTTCATCTTGCGCAAGAGTACATGAAGAAGAGATTCGAGGGTCGATCTTACCAGAAGGAGACGGTTGATCTTCGTTGTGACGCACGCATTTTGCAGTCCACGAGGCATCCTGTCTCGCTTCTGGTGAAAACGGACTAAGCTTTCCTCCATCATCTGATGGATATCATCAGAGCTGGAATTCATTCGTGTAAAAGTTTTAAGTTAACACTCGGTCAAGAAGACTATCCGAATCTATCTTGCCTCTTTATAGACTCATAACCAAAAAAAACTAAAATTAATAGGCATAGCTTGATATATAATTGTTTGGCTAATTATCTTTCATATTGGTCTTGCTACCTTTGCTCGAATGTATGTGTGTGTGTGTTAATGCCTATACGCACTACCGGTCCTAAACCAGAGTGACTAGATAATCCCGCCAAAGTAATCTAGTGTTATTAGTAGGGTATATAGATATTTATGTGCCAATGATCTTATCGTTATGAAAGGCGATAGAAATGGGGCAGTGGTAGTCATGGTTAGACCAAGTTATATAGGAAAAATGCTAACACATAAATGTCTAAATGAGAGATACAACAGAAAGACTTAAGACTAGACTGAAGATGCCCTTAATGTATGCGCAAGTAATG